CCTTGTACATGAGCCCAATCCCCTACCAAGCGGGCTATCTCTGTCCCTTGTTTAGATTTAAAAACTCATTTTTATATTTCAGTGTTTATATTTAAATTATGTATTTCTTTAAAAGATATACTGAAAATCTATACAAATACTTCAGCATACTGAATAATGAAGTACAAATGACTGTAGGAAACTTTTTGAAATAAAGTATTTAAAAAATGCAAATTTACTAATTCGTAATAAATTTTTGCAACAAAAGTTTGTTTAATTTTGGCGAATTCTTTGGCAGATTCTAGGAAGGTAAAAAAAAAACGAAAAAAATTTTAATAAATACAAAGATATTAAAAACATATTATGTGATTAAGCTCTTGCGGCGGTGCCCTGCTCCTATAATTTCACCTTTACTTGGTGATGCAAAAAAGTACTTTCACTTCAACTTGCAGTGACTCATGTGAAACCAGTTTTCTACGAGCAACCGACACAACCGACGCTACTGTCAGTTTACCTCGTGGCCTGGTCGGTGATGCATGGTTCTACAATAATCTTAATTTCATTTTTAACTTTCTGTAGTTATTTGTAATTCTTAATTATGTTTAAATTAAATTTATTCTTTAAATTTTAATTGGTAATTTGTTTTAATGTTTATAAAAACTTAATTTACCAAACTCTAATTGTTATAAACTATACTGTCAAAAATTGTAATGTATCTTAGTACAAATAGTGGCAACTATTTTTCACCTAAATAGTGTAATGAAACACCATTGGTTCTCAGCGCAACAAAACACCAAAAGTTTTCTTTTACATTTCTTGGTGTAAAGCAGCTGCCACCATTTTTTTTCTATTCAATAGCACTAAAATTTATAATTACTGAAAGTTGAGACACACATAAGAGTCAATAAACTAAATTTACGAGGCAATATAAAGTAAGAATCATTAATTTAGAACGCACACACATCTATATGTATATATATATATATACTTATTCTCGAAATTAAATTAGTTTGTTAAACAAATGTCTGCGTAACACAAAGAGCATATTGAGTTAAATTAGAACTAAACTTAGCAGAATGAAAGTGGATAGAAATTATAGAACTATTTAAAACATTTCACAAATATTTGAAAATTAAAATATAATTATCTTTATTTTAAAAACGTACATGCATATTTTAAAATCTACAACATATCAAAAGTGTGAAAACAAACATATCAAAAGTGTGAAAACAAACATATCAAAAGTACAAAAACAAACATATCAAAAGTGTGAAAACAAACATATCAAAAGTACAAAAACAAACATATCAAAAGTGTGAAAACAAGCATATCAAAGGTACAAAAACAAACATATCAAAAGTGTGAAAACAAACATATCAAAAGTACAAAAACAAACATATAAAAAGTGTGAAAACAAACATATCAAAAGTACAAAAACAAACATATCAAAAGTGTGAAAACAAACATATCAAAAGTACAAAAACAAACATATCAAAAGTACAAAAACAAACATATCAAAAGTACAAAAACAAGCATATCAAAAGTACAAAAACAAACATATCAAAAGTACAAAAACAAACAGATCAAAAGTGTGAAAACAAGCATATCAAAAGTACAAAAACAAACATATCAAAAGTGCAAAAACAAACATATCAAAAGTATGAAAACAAACATATCAAAAGTGTGAAAACAAACATATCAAAAGTACGAAAACAAACATATCAAAAGTGCGACGACGATAGTGTTGTCTAAAGTAAAAAAATAATTCATGTGTACAGTTTATGCGCGAGAGTTTGATGTAAGCTTATTCCGTTATAATTGTAAAAATAATTTTGAAAAGCGACAGAGTTGGTCATTGAAGGCGGCAAATATTGAATAATGGTTCTCAATATTTTAGTTAAAAATATTTAATTATTTATTGCTATTGTCCCGTAATCCATTTCGTTATGGAATGCATTTAGTAATATCAATTTTAATGTTCATCCACGGATTTCCCTTTTAGTTATTTAAGTATTTAAACTTCCTTTGAGGAAACTTCTGCAAAAATAAACGAGTATAAAACCTTAAAAAACTTTTATTTCCTTCTATTTTTGGTGAATACATTGTGTTGATTTTACAGTGACTATGATGTTGGAAGTTTTGTTCATTGTTGGAAGCTATTTTGCTGGTAATATCAATATTTCATGTTGCTTATTTTATTATACTTAATGCTTAGAAGCTTTTGAGGTTACGATTTTTTTTTCAAAAAAAAAAAATGTGTGCTAATTTTCATCTTGGGAGGTCATTATATAATTTTTTTATGATAATGATATAAACGAAATGCGAACTTCTAGTACAAAATCTCAAAAAACTGGAAACCGATTTTGACTCGATGATTCAGCTGATAGGTCGTGTTCTAAAAACTAGAGCCAACAGACCAAGCTGCTATTTATCATAAGTGCTATTGTTTTAATTGTTTCAAATGATATATATGGGTGATTCTCACGAAACATGACAATTCACTGTCCCTTGCTCCTAGATCTAATACTATAACACTAAAGGAACTTTTCTTTAAAAAAAATAATAAATAGCATTGCTGTTAGCATTTTAGAATGACTTTGCACTAGCATTGACTGTTTTGTATACTTAAAAAATTTAATTGAATATCAAAATGTCATTTTCCTGACATGTCCCAAACAATATTTCCAATAATAACTAGCTTCAAAACTTCCCATACATTTTTCAAAATCTGATTTTTTTTTTATCTTATCCTATGTAAGCACTTCTAGAATATACGCAGAGGGTATTGTTTACTAAAACTTCGTTTAAAATAATTTTTTCTGTCAATAATTTGTTTGTCCCATGAAAATCTGTCATTTTCCTGGCTACTTTTATTTAGTGATTTATAACCAAAATAGATAGCTCCAGGAATCAATATCTTATGTTAATAGATTGATTAGATAACCTCCTATCTGAACATGTCTTGTTGCATGAATAAAGAACCAATTTTCCGGCTCAAAATCTATTTCAAAAAATTTTTCAAGGTGAGTAGGTTTTTATGCTGTCATTTTCCTGGTTTCTTTCAATCATTAATAACAAAAACTACATAGATTTATCTGAGTTATTTTAAGAAATACTGTAGTTTTCTGCAGAATATAAACGTCTTCGGCCAAAATATTAAATTAAAGTAAAGTTATATGCTATAAAATGGCGAAGCCAGACATTGAAGTGTTACCAGCAATTCTTTTTAACTGCTAATACTGTTAAGATGGAGAGCAAATATTAACCTAATACCAAGTTAATGTATGATTGTAATAGGCTTGGATGTAATCAAAGTTATTTATTTATTTAATGATTGATTATTATACACAATTCTATTCTGTACATATCAGCAACAAAAGTTTTTTTGTTTCTTTCTACAGTGGATAAAAAGAATTGATTTAAGCAATTTATGGTCCATCTAACATAAAGGCTTAAGTTGAGTTACTTACTATTAACTTAAAATGACTGTTTTTTAAACTTCTAAGGTAATATGTCATTTTCCTGGCATTCAAGATTTGACAAATTTCTATTTTATTTTTTTTTCTCAAGCAAATGTCAATAAACTACACTGCCGTCTATAAGATATCAATAGGTGTAGCTAACGAAGTATACAAAAAAAATTTTAGATTATTTTGAAGACACTTTAAATTTGAAGAAATTTTTTGGTCCGAATATTATCTATATATATATATATATATAAAATACTACAACTTTTTTTCATTGAAATGAAAAGTCATAGGAAATATATAATATAGCTAATTAGAAATAAGCAGATGTATTTTTTTAGTTGGTTTTGCCGATCTGAATGGAATTTGTATTTTTAAAAGATGTGGAACGGGAAAACCCACGACCACTGTCTTAGATGTATATCATACTCCTGAACATATGCTATCCATGTGCCCGCAAGTATTTCTTTTGGCAATTTGTTTCTGTTTTGTTTTTTTTAATTACCGTATTTTTTTAGCCATGTCTTTTCACTGTATATTACCTAGTATATGAATGGCTTACCTTTTGCTATTAAATACTCTACCGTTATTGTATTTGGAACGTATCCTTGTTGACCCTAAGTTTACGTTTGCTACAAATACTCGCACATGAAATATTTTATCAGTTATGCACAACAGGTAGTATACTCCCCTTACGTTCTCTTGTAACCCTGCTGTCATTATATTTTCGCAATCACGTGTGTCCAACCCTTATAATATAATAGCATAATAAGCTTCAGAATATCCATAATAATACATATTAAAAAAAAGCTTATAATTAACTGAAAGTTTTATAGCTATAAAAAATATCAAAGAAAAGTAAAATAGTATAAAAATCTCTTTTTCCCTGAAAAAACTTAACCTATAGCATTTGAAAAGAGAATTCCTGAATTACACTTTTATATTCTTGAATAGTGTCGCTGTTATCACCACTGTATTTCGAACGCCATGCATTTTTACATTTAAAAAAAGTAATTTTTAACTTTATAGTGAGGCACTTTAAGTTTGTTCATTTAAGAATTTTTAATTATTCAGTTCTGCTCGAGAAGCTCTAGATTGTTTTTTTGATGAGTTTAGAAGATGTCTGGGACATGATGTCGAATCTGAAGTATCGTCAGGCAGTGCAATAATTGCTGACGAAGCCATTATATTGATGGGAGTGAAAAGCCTATTGGAGGATATGTGCAATACATCGAGTCGTTTATATAAAAGTAACGTATATTATTTCTTTTTAACAATCATCTGGTAAATTTTGGACCTTTTTGAACATAAATGTTGTTGAAATTTCCCACAAACATAACATGTTGCTTAGTTGTGAATATTATCATCTTTGTCATCATCATTTCTGCAACAGCCCGTTGAGGGTCAGGGGGCTACGAAGGTTAAGGTTCCCCAATCCCATAACCAACGGTATGATTATGGCAATTTTATCATTATTGAGTACTTGCACTCCAGGAAAAAAGAGACGACCAATACCCACCTATGACGTCAGCACCGACTAATCGTATCAGCAGTATAGAGTATTAAAGTTAAGTTTCTCTACATAACTTAAAATGTTAATTGACTTTAATTAAATACAGAGCTGTATAGCACATCGCATTTGTTGAAATATAATTCTTTCTAGTCTACTTCTTTTACTTAACTTTATACATTTATTATTTGTTTATGTGTTTTATTGTAACCGCGATATATTTTTGTTTTGTGTACCTGGCAACTTCGATGCATAATAATTTTTTTCATGTTCTACATGGCTTCGTTCCTGTCTCTGTGTTAAGTCTCTGTATAAATATATAGTGGTAGAATTGAAATCATTGTTAAAGAATTTAGGCTTTGTTACTTAAGAGAGTTAGTACTTATCAGACTTGGCTTACTCGAAATAGAATGGAAAGAACAGTTGCTAACGTAAACAAATGCCTCGTTTCTACAGTCAATCAGGATAGATACTCACACTACGTACATTGCAGGTATCCCATTCCACACAGGCTGCTTTTACCTCTCAGGAAAGCTGGTACCAACTGATCTGAAGCTAGGCTAGTTTAAAGCCGCCACTAGGGATCGAACCTCAGTTCTTCTCAACGAATTGAAAAGAATACCTTATAAACTGCGCTATCGTGGTTCGGTTGCATAAAGATTATGGTAAATTCGTACCCTATTATGATATAAAATACGCCGACCGCGTGGCCGAGCGAGTCCTAATTATGTTAAAAAAATTTAGATATATGGGACAAATTTTTTTTTGTCTAAATTTTTATAAAAAGAAACCCTTCAGAAATAAAAACAAAACTGCTATCTAACGAAAAGTGCAAAAGAGGTTCAGCCAGGCACCGATGCCATTTCTTTGCTAATTCATAATTACACAATTGATGTTCAGCGACATTCATTTCTATATTTCGAAATTTACATCTGTTAAATGAAAGTCAAATATTATATCGACGAAAATAGTGGCAGAGAAAATTCATTGAAAACTGGAAAAAGAAAATTGATAATTATGAAATCTAATCTTCTTAATAGACAATAAATTCAAAATTACATTCCATGTGTGTCTATTCTTCATATTCTATACCTATTAAAAGCTCTATACCTATTGAAAAAGTGTTCATTTAGGTGAATCAGTTTATAAAACATCATAATTGCATGCTTTATACAATTAAACTAGCAATTATTAAAAATTAGTAACAAAAGCTACAGCAGTTGAAAAATTTATTGATTTCGGCAATAAAATAAATTGTTGGTCTAAATGATTCAAAGCATTGTACTTCAAGAAATATCCAATGTAAAAAGGCGATTGATACATGGAAAAATCCATATACTTAACAAGTTCCAAGCTCCTGGTACATACTAAAAATATTCATAGTGTATATTTCAGTCGGCACGCATCCCAATGGTGAACCAGTTGTAGCATCAAAGATCCTTGCTGGCTGACAGCTCATTTTAGTCATGAACGAGTTTCTCTAAAAATTTATAGCTTATTCTCGAATTATATATCTTTAATTATTTATCTTTATTTTAATATGTCAAATAAGCTCAATCATGTAAGAAACACGCCTCCAAGTTAGTATTTAGAAAGATATCTAAAATCGCGTGTTTATTTTATTTGCAGTTCTGCTTTTGTGAAGTATTTCCATAAAATTAAATACAAAAATATAAACTAGAATTGGAATAAAGAAAAATTTTAAAAACGTATTATGCTAGATCTAATAACGTAATTTTAAAAGCAATTAGTACATAGAAAACTTTTTAATTTTTTTTTTAATTTTTAATTGTTAATGTGTTTTTTAGTTTTGTTCTTGTTTGGAAAGTGTTGCTACTCTTTTTCAAAACCTCAATCGCAAAGAAAATGTGAAAACGTTATACTCAGTAATTTTGTGTTTTCGAAAAGAAAAACTTTTTTAATCTTAGGCGGAAATGAAGACTGACATCATTGAAACATATCATATTGATGCCATTGTCGATAGAACTAACAATTTATAACATTTACACAGTTTTTGACTTCACCTATTTACGTGTCAGGCATTAATGACTAATTGACGATAAATTTTTTTTTTAAAAAAAGCATTATTATATTTAAAACAACCTCATATAATTGACGTTATATTTAAAACAACCTCGACTAATTGACGATTAATTTTTTTTTTTTTTAAAAGCATTATTATATTTAAAACAACCTCAGTATGGTTAAAAATCATTTTAAAACGTTCCCAGCCCAAACAAACTACTGAATACTACTTGTTTTGTTAGAGAATACTTGCTAATCATTCTCAATTTCTTTTAAAGTTTATAGCGAAAACTACCAATGTCTGCAAGACGTCTTGAATGGCACTGAACTGCTGGACATGTGTGGTCTTCAAGCAGCCATGTGGTACCAAAGATACAAAGACGGTATATCTAGAGGCAGTGACAAAAGTGATTTTAAATGCTTGTAAGAGTAAACTTTCTTTATTTCTACTTATTTTCTCTCTTTTACCCTTTCAAGAGCGATGGGATAAAGATTGTCCAATTAATTTTAGACACTCATATAACTCACTCAAACTGTACAATCAGCCTTCACTTTGACCAATTTTTTTCGAGTTTTCACTTACATATTCGTTAATAAAACAATGTAATAAATGGACTATCAACGTCTGTGCTTGTGTGTGTATGGGAGGAGGCAGGACTTTTGTGTGCAATTTATTCATCTAAGAATGTTTCTAAAGTAATTATGACCACAAGTTGACAATTAACTGACTCTAAACGCTGATAGTGAAATTAATATGTTTAGAGTAAATACATGTTACAACTGCTGCTTTATATTGCACCTGTTTAAATGTAAAAGTGTAAAGGTAGAGGTTCATTAGTTATGTTTTTTGAACAAGAAGTGCGATAGAACAAACTGTTCTGGAATTATGAGGGAGAGATACACGCTGACAAACAAACAAGCAAACTTTTCGTTTAATTATTGGGAATTAGTTTTAGTTTTCACTTTCATGTGATTAAACTGAGTCTTATTATGTGATTTATCTATCCAATGAAAATGCATGGATTTAACCTCATTCTTATCTGATTTTAATCACTCAAAATATTGAAAACAGTGTGAGGATAAAACAAATTGCTTCATAATAGATGCGTATACCATAATTCTTAACTTGACTAAAATTTTGGTTTAATTTTTTTTTCCTCTACAAAAGATAAAATTGACTTTTTTCCTTTTATCTCTAAAACCGAGGAAGGGGAGAAATTCCTCGTTATGAAGAATTACTGATTGTGTGATACTTACAGCCTTTATTGTGTCTAGTCTTCAAGGGAAAAGCTACTTTGTAGAAGTACCGTTTCTTCGCGCCAAAAGTACAGCAACTTAGCATTTAATACATTTAAAGGCTCTTTAAAAGAGAATTTTTTGATTATACTAAACTCTTAAAGTCATAGCATTGGGAAATATATTGCAAAATATATGAATAAATAAATAATGAAAAATTAAATACATGAACAAATAAAGTCAGTGACAAAATTATCTTAATTGTAACTCACTTTAAATTCTATAATTCTTTATGAATTAAATGCAATTAAGAACACTGATCTCGTACATTTTGGCGCGTATCTTTTTATTTAGATTACCTGAGATCATGCAGCATAAAAAATAATTTTCAAGCCCTAAGCCTAAAATACTTCAGAATCTACAACTGTAATTATTTTAGCATTTTACATATTTTAGATGCTATTAAATTTTTTAAGGTTTGCAGTGTATTTAACATTTTAAAACCACGCAACAGATTTATTTCTGATTTTAATTCAATACAGTAAAAACAGAACTTAAACCTACATTTCCCTTAATTCTTTAATTCTCAATAATTATTAATTAGTTTCATGGAATAATTTTAAATAAAATTCAAACGTGTTATGGCATTATTGAATATAAAAGTGATGACCAACAGTGACAGTTCTTTTCTTTACATTAAAAATTATAGACTTGAAGCCACTGTCTTAGGATGTATATCAGAAAATGTTACGACTAGATGTGGAGATGAAGCTGGATTCTTTGTGGTTGAAGAAGTGCACCGCAACAAATTTTTAAAACTCGCGTCATGTACTCCTCAGCAAATTCTCCAACTCCAAAACAGCTATCTGTTCTCACTGAACCTGGAATCAAGTAGACGAAGGATCTATCAACGGGCTTTCGATTTATGAAGAAAAAGAAAATGATCACAGTATAAAATACTACTTTTCTTCATTGTAAATTGCGTTTGGTACATTAAAATGCCCACAAACATGTTTACCAATAAATTTTTTTGCAATTTGCTTGCAATGTTTATATGGTACCAGTAACACTATGAGGAAAATCAAGAGGAAGTCTCAACTGTTTTTCAATTGGAAACCAGAAAAAATTTCAAGGCGAAATCTCGCTGGTACGTAATACTTGTAATTACCTCATGCAGAGCAGATTTCATTAGAGTAGAGGTATCTAACTTTTTGCCCACAAGTAAGGAGTGAAACACGACAATTTTTGAAGTGACAGGTTGATAACAGATGTTTAGCGTTAGTTTATATTTTGACAATTGTAGGATTCTATTGTGGGACATTACTTTGACAATTGTACGATTCAAAACTAGGACTAACACTAATGAATAACAAACTATATGTTGTTAAAGCACCAAATACTACCATGATGTAACCACGATTTATATTAAGAATGTTGCAAGCAGATATATGTAAACTCTTTTTTCTCTTGATGGACTTGAATATTTCAATCTTATATATATTTGCTTCTGTTTTTCTCAGTTCACTTTCGTAAATTTTTTCAATTATTCTTTTTAATCGTTGATGATTATTGCTGACATCCGACGCTATAAAAGACAAAAATGCAATCGAAATGGTGGTAAAAAATATCATATACATAAAATCGACAATAAAAATAGTATTCACCTCAAGGGCTGAGAGTAGTACTCTATAAAAGTAAGAACTCATATGTAGAAAGAATAAAATAGAAATTAAAAATGTGGGAGTTGAGAATGTTTTGTTGAACTCTCGAACAGTTAAAAGAATTACTTGAAGTTCACTAACATTCTTCATTAAAAAAATATCTAGTTCTGTTTTGCGCAGTTTCTTTTCTTGCTCGGTCATCAAAAAGTTACAATTAGAATATAATAAACACAGTAAAATATTAACTAAACAAGGAAAAGAAAACGTAAAAAAAATGTATTGGATGTAACTGATGAAATTAATAAAACTCAAAATCCGCGAGTTCACATAGTAACCGAATAATGTATTAGCTTCTTTCAAGCCAAGCACAACTATCAAAGAAGCATGAATTAGAACAGAACTCAAGGTAATGATTACTGCTGAGTTTACACAAAGAGATTTGTCGTAACGTGTAATGAAAAAATCTGAATTCAATTTGTTCAATTTCAAAATGTGTTTTAAAATGTTTCTCCGATTTCTTTTTATAATAATCCACAAGCTAATTGAAATACCTATTATAATCCAATTGCAAATCACTGATCTTGCGTACTGTGGGTACTTAGTCATGAGAATAACAGCTACGTAGGTACTATAAAATATATTAACAGCCCAAAATGATAAAACACTACATTGTAAAATAGTAGCTGTACGTTTTGTATATGTTCTGGGATTGATGTTGATTCCCGTAGCCGCAAGGATTCTCCATAAATGCTTGTTATATTTAAAAGCAAAGTTGTCAAGTCTTGGAAATTTCATAGTTATGTTTTCAGTATGCATTTTTTTTTAAATATTGAAGTTTGATTAGAAGTTACGTAAAATAACTACTCACACGCTTTGCTTTCTCTTTACAGACAAACAGGTCAAATCTCAATCTTTAGTCTTGGGGAGAGGGAATAAAAATTATTGTATCAGACAACAAATAATTTTTATTACGCGATAATATTGGGTAAAAGATCCAAAACTTGTATGCACATATCAATAGCGTTAGACACAAAACTTCATTCAAATTGAAATGCTACGAGAATTTTTTAAAAATTCCTAGTAGCAAACCTTCTTCGTAATTTGACAAATAACACTAAGAAAAATTAATGCTATCTATGAAGGCCGTACTTAAATACAACTCTAAATTTTAAGCTTCACTTTCATGTTCATACTTGTCTATCTTAGTTTTAAAATTTATACATCTTCTGCTTCTTTTATGTTGCCAACAAACGGTATCACAAAATAGACAAATTAAAAACTCTGTTTAAGTACTCTTTTGTTGTCAATATTATGATTTTCCAGTTTTCTTCACATCAAATTTCCAAGCTAATTAAAATAAGCACTGTGATCTTTTATAATGAATTTCATAAAACTCGATCAATTTTTATAATTGAAAAATTTGTTTTGAAATAAATTCTTTACAAAAATCCAGGCAAGTATAATAAATTTACTTTACATATAATGTTTAACAAAAGAGATAATTGCATTTAAGGTCAATCTGTTCTCTATGCGACATATTGAGCTGTAATTTATGACAAAAAAGATTCCAAGAAAATTAGAAATCGATCACATGAAACGTAAATATCTCATTGATCTGAAGAAGTTATGTTAAAAAATAGCCTCGTATTTTTTGTTTCCTTAAAAGAAGAAAAAAAAAGAAAAAGTAATTATAAAAATAAAAAATTCTACTGAAACCTTTTCTCACGCCGTTTCTGAGTTCAGGTTAAATTTTTTATTTTTTAATTTTCTTAAAAAAAACTTTTGGTCATAAAATATTATTCGATTTCGGGTAATTTTTATAAAATGGAGGGAAATAAAAACGGCGTTTTAATGGATTAAAAGAAATAGCGATTGGGAATTTTTAGAATTTCTTTTCTAAATGTAAAACAATAAAATTATACTTTTAATGATTTTGAATACTTAGTTGAATACTTCACATTTATCTGTCTTTCGACTTTTCTAAGCTTCTCTGACTTTTTTTTTATCCGAAACTGATCTGGATAGTGGTTAAAAAATTTCTTATGTAAATTACACGAAAACAGAGATATTTATCGAAAACCTGAAATTAACAAATCTATGTAAGTAGGTAGGTACTTAATTTACGCCCCACTAAAGCTATATATGCTTTTTTAAACAATGCTGATTTTAGAATTGTATTTGCATAATTCTTTTCAAGTAAAATAAAGAGATTATTAACAACACCGAGCGCTACACTTCCTAAATTCCGATTGAGTGACAGCCTTGTATTTTACCAAACCCTAAGGTGCATATTTCTTTGTTTACGATAAAACTTAAGTGTACAGATATATATATGTGTGTGTAGGAGGGAAGTTGTTTGCGACTAAGTCAACCTTCATCTATGAAAAAGTACCCCATCATAGAATTGAGTTAACATATCGTATGTACTAGAGAAATGGAATTATATTTTTGTAGTGGCAGATATACTGCAGAAATCCCCCACCAGAATTTGATTTGTGATAGAATTCGATGAATGGTTATCACTAGTTGATTCATTGCTGTTTTGTGAGAAGCCGGGAGAGCTGTATTAAAAGCACTGCATTTTTTGAGTGCTGATCGTGAGAGCTGACTGAGTTCACGGTCGTGGTCGCTCCTGCGTTACCTTTAGTAGTCGAGTGTATACGTTGAACGTTGTGTTGTGATCGAGATTTTGAAGTGACAACGTAAAGGAGGCCAATGTCGCAGTCACAAGTAGAAAGTCAACTGTTCAATGTGAACCATCCATCGAAGTAGGGCTGTTCAGATCGAAGTGGGCGTTACTAATAAGATAAACGCGTTCATTTCGAAGTTTCTGTCAAAGTAGACTAGTTCAAATCACGTCCGAATGTGGTGATAGTAGTTAGCGATAATGTCAACCTTCATCTATGAAAAGGTACCCCCTCATAGAATCGGGTTATCACCTCTTATATACTAGAGAATTAGAATATATACTAGAGAAGTACTGGTACTCAGGGTGTCGGTACTTACTTTCTACAGTAAAATCCAGCTTTATTGGTCACAAAGCAAAAAATCCCATATACTGCAAGTTTTGCTGCGATATTGTAATATAAAATAACTGAATCACTCTAATTAAATAAATATTACAGTAAACTTAATGGTACAATATTTTATGGAAAAAATGAATTTTACGAATGATGCACTCAGTACCGATATTTTATATTGTAATTTGATCCGGAATATTTTACAGTGTACTGGATTATAAAAAATAACATTACAAGTTTGAAAAGAAACTTTTAGTTAATTCAGTTTCTAATAACAAATTACTTTTAATTTTTAATGTTATAAGTAAATCATTACAAAGAAACATTATTTATGTCCACTAATAGATCTTCATTGAATCATAAAGGAAATGTTTTTACATGGGAAAGCATAAGCAAACATACCTTATAGTAGGGGAGAATGGGGTCAATTGTAACATTTTTTACTTAACTATTTTTAGTTAACAAAAAATCCAATATATTATTAGTATTAATTGGCAGACGAATAAAGTAGACTATCCTCTACTAGAAAAAAAATAAATTCCTTATTTTAAATGTTATTATATTAGTTATTAACAATTTTTGACAATCGTGCACTTGTTACAATTGTCCCCACTTACGGGGTCAATTGTAACAGTTCATAAATTCAACTAAAACATAGTTAATTATACATATTATCATAGTTGTGATATATTTTTTTATTGATCAAAATAGTAGTGATATTTTAGGAGTAAAAATAATAATGAGCAGAGACCTAAAGGGTTAAACTTTTAACTTTAAGGGGTTAAAAATTTTAATTTATGCTGTGAAAGGTGACAAATAAAATAATGCACATGCAACATAATATAAATGATATAGGAAACTATTGGTGGTTCTTAAAGAGTTAAGTAATGGTTTGTAAACATAAGATTATTTATTTTCAGCTGTTACAATCGTCCCTTTACTTATTGTTACAATTGTCCCCAAGACGCCATTTCAGCTTCATTTGTTAAAAACAATGCTAGTTAATTAGCAAAACTAATCTTTTTTTTTATTGAAATGTTAATTAAGGTGTCCACTTACATATTCGGTTACTAATTTTTATTTGTTTAAACAAAATTACTTTGTTACAATATAATATTCTAATACCAAAAAAAGTACTTGCGTGGCGTGAAAATATCTTTTGTGATGTAACTCTTTCAAAAGTACATAAAAATGGTTGCCATCAGGGGTGTACATGTAGATTTATTAAATACACCTTGTGCGCCACCTAGGAACCAAATCTAGAACCCGACACTCGAAATTTTTGCTCTGTTACAATCGTACCCTGTTATAATTGACCCCACTCTCCCCTACTAATATAAGTGAATACTTTAAAATATCATAAACTGTTTCATGCCAAGAAACAGCGACTACTGTGAAACAACTATTAGGGTTTGTGAGCTGCAGCAAACAGAAACCTTATATTCTTAGTATTGGAACCCTAGAACCCCAGTATTTTTTACCAATTTTTAATAACAGTTTTCTAATGTCATGTTGCATAAGCAAATTATCAAATCACTAAACATAAAGTATCTTAGTAGTCTATTTTGCAATTCTTGCATTGTTTATATGGTACGAGTAAATAAGAAACGTTATGAGGGAAATCAAGAGGAAGTCTCAGCAGTTTTTCAATTGGTATCCAGTAAAAGTTTCAAAACAAAATCTTGCTGGAACATAATACACGGAGAGCAGATCTCATTAAAGCAGCGGTATCTAACTTTTTGCCCACAAGTAAGGAGTAAAACGCGACAACTTTTGAAGCGACAGGTTGT